AGCAGCTTCTCCCCAGATTCGTCCTCGTAGAGCTAGTCGTACTCGACTACGTAACGATTAGGGTTCTTTGCCTCGCGGCGGATGACGGTGCCGGCGAACCAGGAGCCGCGGAACCCGGGGTCGTCAGAGCTGACCTCGACCCGGTCGCGCGGTTTGAATTGGGCGATCCACGAAGAAGATGGGTTCGACTTCGACATTTGCAGAATTGCAGGTGAAGACACGGATGGAAGTGGGGGGATTTTGAGAATTTTGGCGGATATGAGAATATGCTCTACATCAATTTATACCCCAAAGAGAAAGGGAATGGGAAAAGACTCTGTTTTACTAAACTTCTCAGCGAACTCGAAGGATTGCCATACCCGATAAAATACCTTGGTTCCCTCGCTACTTTATTGAGCCACCTCCAGTCTCCTCAAGTGGGATACCCCATCGACTGAATGGTACATGAATCCTCGCACTCACATGGCCTCAGATACACAAAGATCAAGGATGAACCCAACATAAATCACAAGGGTTGCGTATGAGTACAGTTTACGCCAAAAATTTGCGTGTCTTTTGAATTCGTCCCCCAGAAACGTTTCCTTCATTCTGACCCCATTCTCATTCTATCTTGCATGTCGTCAATCTGAGAGAGAGAGAGAGAGAGAGAGAGAGAGAGGCGATGGCGGTTCCGCGTTTCTGCCGACGAGTAGAGAGAAAGAGAGAGTTGACGATTCCAATCATTCCATCGACTGGCGACGGCGGTTCCGCGTTGCTGCTGACGAGTAGAGAGAGAGAGAGAGAGAGTCGACGATTCCATCGATTGGAGACAGCTGGAAGATAAAGAGTTAGTTTATTCATGATTTTATTAAGGTTGGACCATTAACAATCTAACCTAGTAATTCGATATGTCACTTTTCAATATATCCATACAACAAATGGACATGAATTCATGAGTAATTTTGCTTGTAAGTATGTCCTTCACGTAGTACATTAGTAGGTATGTGAAGGTTTGCCGGTTACTTTTGGCTATAGAATTCAAGTGAAAAGTAAACAGAAATTAATAAACCGGAAAATTGACAAGTAGATGGTGTATTATCATGTCACTCCAAAGAAATATGGTCCATTTTAATGAGCCAAGCCGAACTCATGCTCGGCTCTTTTATGAACGAGCTAATACAATCCGAACACGACCCAACTCATTTATTGAGTTTTGGCTCATCATTTCGATCAAAATTTTGGCTCGAGCTAGCAAACAACTCATTTCATCCTAATTAGTCATTACTAAGGGGTCGTTTGCTTGGTGGAGTTGGATAACAACAAGAAGTTCACTCTTGAGGTAAAAAGGTAAACATGATTTTATTAAGGTTGGACCATTTACAATCTAACCTAGTAATTCGATATGTCACTATGCAATATATCCATACAACAAATGGACATGAATTCATGAGTAATTTTGCTTGTAAGTATGTCCTTCGCGTAGTACATTAGTAGGTACATGAAGGTTTGCCGGTTACTTTTGGCTATAGAAGTCAAGTGAAAAGTAAACAGAAATTAATAAACCGAGAAATTGACAAGTAGATGGTGTATTATCATGTCACTCCAGAGAAATATGGTCCATTTTAATGAGCTAAGTCGAAAATTTTGTCATTGGATTGTGTATTTAGATGTATCGTATAGGCAGTCGTATTTGGAGATTGCCTGTTGGTTTAAACCGAAGATGAAACCTTTGAATAATAGGTATGGACGAATAAGAGTGTTCCGTGTTAAGAACTAGGATCAATCTGGTCCGTGTTAAAAACCGGATAAATAAAAAATGAAATGCTGCTGATGGGTGTCAAACCCAAGCCATAAATTGGGCTTGCAAACTGCCATCCGCTGGACTACAATCAACATTCTTTGTTCAATTGTGTACACTTATTAATATGAATCACGAAAACAATTTGCTTGCCATTAACCAACAAAAACCTATTTGTCCAAGCTTATTAACGAGCTCAACATATTGTTTACATTTGTGGGCCAAAAGCAGCAACCATTGGGCCAGAAGGCCCAAATCAGCCTTCCGACCTGTCTTTTTTAGGCCGCATTCAATTTACCTAAGCCCTGCTCTTGCCTCCCTCGACAACACAGACATTGTTCCAGATCTTCGCTGGCATTGGCGGCAAAAACTGCCCCTTTCGACCACGGCGAAAACCCTAGCGCCAAGGTATGTCACTATCTGGTCCTAAGCACTCTTAACATCACATTCCTCTAATAAAGATTACTACGATCTCAGCGGACCCACGAACTATGGCAGTTTTCCGCCGAGACAACCTAGTCGCCTCGCAGGATTACGAGGACCCCACCGATCCCCAAGGTTCGATGTTTGTGTTTCTGTAGGTCTAAATTGCTACTGGATTCGATTGCTTCGCAAAACCTTACAATAAATGGTAACTCCACTTAGTGTGTTTCTTGTCTCTATTGTATACCCCATTTGTGCTTCGATGACGTTTCGAGGTTTGCGGTTGGGAACCAACAACCGTACTGTGATAGCTCGGCTTCTAAAAACGTGGACAGAAGTCATTGAAGGAAAGGTTTGGAAAACGCCAGCATTGCGCATGCTCTGGATGGACAAAAATGTTTGTTTACGATTTCCCAGCAAAAAAAACACCAGCTGCTTATCTATAACATTCTTTTACACCTGCTAATCCCGCAGAAACGAGTTATTGAAGCTAAACGAGTTATTGAAGCTCTGGCATATGAAAAGGACATTGATGACGGGATGGCGAGGATCAAAGTTGGTCGTCTGTATCGCCTAAGCATTATCGTTACAATCCCCTCGAGTAAGAACAAATGCATTGTCCCAGGAGAACTGTGGCTGCTCATGAACTCTGACCAACTGATTGACAACATCGAAGAAGACCAGAACAATCATAAGTTTCCCCTCGACTCATTCCTGAACTTTCATTTCTCAGTGGTCCCTGCAAAGTTTGAAAGTTTCCACTGCCACGCATGTAAAACAATGTACATCTATGCAATTACAGATGTCACAGGCTGCGTACGGCGAATCACATTACCAAAGGAAATCCAAGATGGCATGCTTGATTTCCATCTGGTTATTGAAGACTACATGTATACTAAACTATGTACCTAAGATCGTTAAAACTTTCGACAACGAATAATTTATATTTTGTTTGCATTTGCAAAACAGTGGGAACAAGGCTATTGTGAAGTACTGTGGCTACGATGTCGTTGGTTAGCTCCAACAAGCAGCAGATGTAGAGTCGCACCTCCCGCTGATAACCACAGTTACATCGGTAGTCTCCGTGCCCCATGCATGCAACGATGATGGTATATATGAGCTGGAATCGACACAAGCCAGTCGTCTGATTATCAGTTCATACAATGAGACCACTGAAAGAGTCATGAACAGGTATTAATGATTTCCTAACAATCTCTAAGACAATTTGTTCACTTCAAATATGCTTTCATTGTAACAACTTAGCCTAACATAGACATCTATTTGCAAAACTCAGGTTTCTGCCATGCCGCAAACCGATCAAGTACATAATCTATGGAACAGCTGAAAGGATGGGATACTTACGCTACCCTCGCCCCCCAAGAAGAACACTTGCTCAGATAAAAGAAGACTTGAGTTCAATACCACAACATCGTGAGGTATATTATGATGCTTTGTAAAATCCCAACATTCAAATATGTTTCACTTGCTATTGTCGTGCACTCTAACCTGGCAAAAACAATTTTTATATTTCAGACCCTCTACCGAACCATAATCAAGTTCACTCATGTCAAATACAAAAACGACATTTGCAGAACAACTCGGGAAACGCCAAGGTGAGATTAAATATTTAAATTGACCCGTTTGCACTTTTGGCAAGGAACGCTTGCATTATTCTCAACAAAGCTAACGAGCTTCTATTATAACCAGACTACATTACCAAATCGAGGCAAGGTGCAAATCTGAATCATCCGAGGCCGATGTTGTACTCAACCACGAGGCAACTCTGTCAATACTCTGCATGCTGTCGGCAAAGTATCTCAAACTGAACGAAGATGAAATAAAAGACATCATTAAGAAAAACTGCGAGAAGACCTTCGCAGCAGAACTGTACATTGCATGGCCAAACCCAGGTCAGAGCACCGTGCCGCACATCAGGATTGCCACACTTTGGGATCGCTGTGCTTTCGACGATTGAACATCAACTTCGACCAGCTCCATTTTGAATCAGGAAAACTGCTACTGATTGACCGCTTTTTGCTGGTTCTACCTAAGCCCTGACATAATTGACAACACTTTAGGTCCAGCCTTTTGTGATGTACATGCCGTTCCCTGAACATGATGCACATATTTTGTAGATCTTTGTTGATCTGTCTATTTCGCAGCAACAACTACCACCTGGCTTAATCAGGTAGTTCAGTCAAACTGTGAATCTATTGTGAATGCTTAGGACACATTTTGGGAATTACTTTTGCATATGTACCTATATTCAGTGTTAGACAATATTGATATGCAGATGTTCTTAATGGAATAAGTTGCAAGGGGAAAAACACAGATTCCGAGACGAAAATTGGTGTCCAAAAATAAAACACATCCCGCAGCGCGGGCTTATTTATTTATTTATTTTTTTGTCATAGAAACCCTTGCGGATTAACTAGGTAAGCACGAGAGAGCCACAATACAACGGCTTCTTCGTGAAATGATAGTCAAAGCAAATAAGAACAATTAAAACGAACATTACAAGAGCCAGAGTAGCATAAGGCATTACGTGCCACAACATGGGCAGCCCGATTCGCTTCTCTAGGAGTAAAAGCAACAGAAACCAATGGCAATTCTTGCAACATAAAGATGACTTCTCGTAAGATAGCCCCCACAAGGGCATCATTGGCATCAGAAGCCTTCAAATGTTGTACAACTGCAATAACTTAAAACCAAAAATGAAATGTTGCTGATGGGTTTTGAACCCAAGCCAAAAATTGGGCTTGCAAACTGCCATCCGCTAGAATACAATCAACATTCTTTGTTCAATTGTGTACGCTTATTAATATGAATCATCCCGCAGCGAAGCGCGAGATTATTCCTAGTAGTAATAACTTAAAACCAAAAATGAAATGCTGCTGATGGGTGTCGAACCCAAGCCATAAATTGGGCTTGCAAACTGCCATCCGCTGGACTACAATCAACATTCTTTGTTCAATTGTGTACGCTTATTAATATGAATCACGGAAACAATTTGCTTGCCACTTAACCAACAAAAACCTATTTGTCCAAGCTGATTAACGAGCTCTACATATTGTGTACATTTGTGGGCCTAAAGCAACCAAACTAGCATCCCAAGTCAATTAATCACTTATTGAAAGTCTTCTGGACTTATTTTGTTCATGAAAACCAACCATTATTATATAGTTGTAGTGAAGTGTGATGTTTATTTTCAAACTATGTGGTAGAATTGTTGCTTACTACGTTGGACTATATTGTTTAGCTTGTAAAACTAACGATCCTAGCTAGCTAGGTATATATTTTGACATTTTTTGCAATCATTTGTTCCTATTGATAGATGTTTATATTTAAGCACCTTCGTATTTTTATTTTCAAGTTTGCTCTTTGTTATTAGTTTTCAAGTTCGCTCTTTCTTATGAATCACGAATACTAATTTTTGATTGTTTGTGGCATGTAGTGTAGTAGGAAGCAACAAACAACCCATAAGGAAGCAACAATTCATTAAGAAGGGCAGGACCCGTACAAAATAACATTGTGTTCACACACTTAGTACACTTGGATAACAAGAGAAATGGCATTAAGGCCGACACTAAGCAAATTTAGTAGATTCTATTGACATTGCTGTAATGGTATTCACTTTCCACGAGGAAAGAATAGTTTTACCAATAACAGCTCAAAATACCCATGGTTCCAAGGACCCAATGTGACCATAAACTCATAAGAGTTTCCACCAAGCAAGTTGACAAGGGTAACGAAATCGGCGTTGGCCATGTCTTCATCACTTACTACATCTGAAAGGATTTTGCGTAAGTTTGCCGATGGGAAAACAACCTCAACATCCAAATAGTCATCCTCAATAACTAAGTGGATCAAATGAACTCTAGATGCAGCACACCATGATGTCCTCAACTCGGTGATACGTCCGGAGAAGAGGTGAGAAGTGCCCTGGTGTTTAAAACAAGAAATGGATTTTCAAAAAAAAAATTAACAAGCATTAACAAACAGAAAAAGTGCAAACGAGAGCGAGAAGGATGAATGACAAAAAAGTTTATTTCAATAACCTCAACGTCACCATTCTCTTGCAACAATATAAGACTGAGTGATTCCGTAAATTCAGACATAGCTACTGCTTCCTCATACCGCAGCTTTGCAACGAAACCAGGCTCAACCATAAAATCCCTACAAATAAAACCGTTACTAATGTCTGACCATACGAAAAGGAAGCGGAGTAGACAGTCTAAGGATTAGTTGGTAAACAATACTTACGGGTACCATTGAGATACACGATCCATTGTAAGAAAATTACACCTACGAGTATAAGAACACATTACGTCAGCTACTCTAATCCACCGTACCAAATAGTTAAAAAGCATTTACAAAAAAGTACCTGCGGCGGTGGAAACGTGGTCGGCGACAACTCGTTGTTAGTCTGGGAAGGAAGGAAGACGACGATTGGAATTCCTTTTTTCCACAGGAATTTCCTTCGCCTGCTCTTCTGTCAACAGCGACAACCCTACCCTTGCTGCTCTCTCCCTATTTTTCTCCTGCCTTTCGTCCTGGGAACTTTCCGCCGCTCTTCTTCCCACAACCCCTTGAGCGAATCAGCGGCGGCGGTGGCAGGAGACAATGGTGGCTCGGAGGTGGAGACCGGTATTGAGCAACCAGCGGTGGATTGACTGGCGGAGGCGGAGGCGGAGGGGGAGGGGGAGGGGGAGGGGGAGGCTTGCATGCAAGGGAGGCGGAAGCGAAGGAAGGAGGAGGGCGGTTAAGTTTTCTTTCTCAAGAAAAACAGAGAAGCCTGCGCATGGGGGGAAGAAAAGGCAGGGATATGGATCGATTGTTTGATTTTGTAGGCAAGTCTTTCAATTTTTCAACTTTGCCATAATTGATCTGTGTTGGGAGATAAAAATAATGCCCAAAAGGAGTTGTGCGCCGATCTGCTATTGTTAAGGGCCTTATTGGGCCTGGTACAAAAGGCATGTTGTGGTGCATGTGAGGCCTTTTTAATGGCCAAAAAATACGAGGCCTTTTTAATCAATCGATCGGATTATTTAGACAACAAATAATCCGAATCGAGAGTGAACAAATAATTAGGATCTCAAAACAACCTATGGTACTTTAGCTGTCTAGCGAATTTCACTGATAATCTAGAAGGACAAAGAACAATTATTCCACGTGATAGGATCCTCTCCGACAAAAATCTCATAAGGTCTTCCTTGATCTATCATAACCTCATCGTGACTTGGCCATAGGAACGGGGCTTCATTAAGAAACAAAAGATATTCGCTCTCTTTATCTCTTTATCCATCCGTCGCCTAAAACTTCTCGCCGAGAGAGAGGAAATGAAAGGGAGCTCTCGCAATAAGGATTTAGGTCGGAAATTTTGTTGATGGCGAGGGGTTCATTTTTCTCTATTTTAACAAAAATTTCGGATAGAATTCCTGGTTAGGTTTTCCTGGAGTTTTAGGGTTTCTGTGTCTGCTACGGTGACGGTGACACAAAGTTAGTTGAATGTGTGGGAGTATTCTGGTGATTGAGTGTATAGAGAGCCTGTTTTGAATCCTTGTTCTGCCTCCTGCGTTTAAGGTTATGTTTTATTAGGGGTAGAGAGTGAAAGTTTTCCTTGGTAGCCACGAGCTGTAGTGCTCTTGACTAAAGTTTGAAACCCTAAGCAAGCCTTCTACGGCTTAGGGTAAGGGAGTGTTTTCTCCTGCTAAGCCCATTTGATTTCTTTTAGGAACATACTTTTTAGGGTAATGACTATTTATTAGCCAAACCTCTTTTGAATTCTTTTTTATCAGCCAAATCTATCAAAATACTATGAATTAGCCAAATGATCATTTAGAAATTTTGTTAGTAATATTGATTTGACAATATGATACTAACTAGTGTTGTATCCGGCCCGTTGGCCGGTTTGTGGTCCTTTGGGTTTTTTTTTTAGTTAAACGTAGGTGGTTCGATTTTTAGTATTGTGCACTGGTGGTACAAAAGAGTACTTTGATAGCTTATGTTTTTAGTGCCCGTTAACTTTATAATTATATTGAATTTGTATTTCATTTTATACTTAACTATAAGAAGTTTAAGTTAGACAATGAATGAAATGAAAAACTATCTGGAATCTATATTCATGCCTTGAAATATTAAGCATCACTGAATAAAAAAAAATTAATTTTTTTTATGTTCGTTATATGTGAATAATTACCTTGAAAATGAAGCTTTGAAAATTTTATTACTATTTTAATTTAAATATAGTTGATTGTCATCTATTGAATTAAAAAGTAAATAATGTACATAATATTACTATAGATGTATTACATTTAAATAGTTTAAAGATACAAAAATTCGAGGAGAAAAAAATGTGATATGGAAATAGATTATTTGGAAAATTATGTAAAGCAAATCCAAAAATATTAGTATATATGTATTAAATTTATATTTTTGAAAGAGACAAAAATGAAAAATATCAGCAAAAGAATATTTTGACTTGAAATGACCCTTTTAAGTTATTCAATCATTTGAACTTTAGTTATCATAATTCAAACTTAACCTTTAACAATATACTCATATTTTTAAATATTTTATTGACTATGTCCTATATTTTCAAAAGCGGAGCGGTTGTCGATGAAAAATTTCAATGACTCATGATTAATGGTTTATCATTATACAACTATTTTTTAATCATCAATGGAACTATTCAGATGTAAATAACAACTTAGTTAGGTTGAAGAAGCATTTAAGTTATTTCATTGGACCATATTTTACGTTTAATAATTTTCTAATAAAAACTATCTCGAATTCAAGCAATTACATAGAGTAAAAAAATTGATTTTTTTGTTTGATCTAATTCGACACAAATATCGAGTCGATACGATATAGATCGAATTATTGTTTAACCTACGACTAAACATGCGATCTTACCTTTCAAAATTTAATGTAAAAATTAGACATGCTAATTTGAAAATTAAAAGAATTTAAAACAATATAAATTGATTGTATTTTGCCAAGATTTCTCGTCTTTCTTCCTCTTCATGTTTGCCGAAATCACTGTGAAATTAAGATCCTAAAACTTTTGAGGGTTGATGCTTGGTTTATCTGTTTAACGTAAAACCCTAATGCGAAAAAACCTATTCCGAAGGAACCTCTTCCCAAACATCCACGCCACAAAGATATATCATCTTTATCATCTCAAAATCCAATCGCAAGCATTATCTCATTTAGGAGTTAAACAACTTTAGATAGCCTCTGTTTTTTCCTTGACCACGGAAAATAAATCTACACAGAGCAAAATTCAAATAATTATTATGTAGCATTTATCTTAAAAAAAATCTTCTTTTCCCTTAATCATAATCGCATTTACTAAAAAGAAAACCAAAAGTCCAATAATAATGAGTGACCCTTGAGTGTTTGAAAAATTGTCAAAGTTGCCCTTCCACCAAATAAGGAGAACCAATCAAAGTGCAAGGTGGCAACAATGACATAGAGTGAAGTGCATAATATATTGTGTAGACTTGGAAGAGACACATAAAGGTCAAGTGTAAACTTCCCAAGCAGCTTGGTGGTTTGGGCATCACAGACCTGGGAATTAGAAATCAGTCCCTGCTTATTAAATGGTGGTGGAGGTTCGCCGTGGAAAGAAATGCGTGGTGGAGGCAGTTGATCGCCCAAAAGTTTCCGAATCCCTTTTCCCATTGGTCCGCTGGATCTCTTAGAGGTCGCATCGGCTGCAGCCCTTGGGCAGTCATCTTGAAACTGGGTTCTGAGTTCTGGAAGTTCAGCCACATTGATCCGGGATCTGGTCATGACACGTCTTTCTGGTTTGATATTTGGCTTAGTGATCGATCCCAGCCCTTGGCCATGGAGTTCCCCCGAGTTGCCGCCGTTGCCGCTTCACCAGATTGCCGCATTGCTGACCTGTGGAGCCTGAGTGAGGGAAGTTCTTCTTGGTCTATTCCTATTTCTCATTCTATTAGGGGAGGGGCTGAGGTTGAGAGAGTAAGTCTGTTGAACTTGCTTAATAACGTTTCATTCTCGAGTCTAGCTGCAGGTCCCTCTAGAAATGTTTGGGAGCTCACGCAGAATGGCGGGTTCAGCTCCCACTCTTATTATTCGGAGTTGGTCAAGGGAAGCAATCTTGCGGACCAGGAATTCCCCTTCAAGATCGTTTGGTGTCCTGTCATTCCGCCCAAAGTCTGCTCCTTCATTTGGACTGTCTATTACCGAAAAATCCTCACCCAAGATGTGCTGAAGAAAAAAGGATGGTCTTTCCCGAATCGCTGTGCTTTGTGCGGCTGCTTTGAAGAATCCATAGACCACCTCTTCATTTCTTGCCCTTTCAGTCGCGAGGTCTGGTTTATGATGAAGGCTTTTGTTAGCATCAACATCCCCACCCAGGACATTTCGTCGGTGATTAAGCTGTGGCCTCGAGACTTGTCTCAAAGTGCTTCCAGCTGGTGCTCCAGAGTCTTTTTGCATGCTTTCTGCTGGCATATCTGGCTCGAGCGCAACAGAAGAATTTTCAAAGACTTGTCCGCTTCGCCGCGTATGGTGTCTTTCTTGATTGCTAGATGTGTCTCGGACTGGCTCTGTGCTGGCAACAAGGCTGATAGAAGTGCTACTGATTTGTGGCTTCAGTTAGTTAGGAACAGGTTGCTTCCTCGGCCGGGTCCGTTTCTGCTGCAACAGTAATGCTCTGTTCTGTTCTGTTTTTTCTAGGTTTAGCTCCTTTGGTTCTGCTGCTGCAATTGGTGGCTGCATCCGGTTTTTCTCCTTTTTTTCTTTTCCTTCTGTTTGACAGACTTTAATCTCTTTTTATTAATACTATTTCACCTTTATAAAAAAAAAACATTCCAAAATTTTAGTATTTTAACCAATAAAAGAGTTGCAAAATTACTAACGATAACATGAAAATGGCTAATTCTTGGATGTATTATGAAAGATTTGGCTAATTAATAACATTTTAATAGGTTTGGATAATATAAAAGAGTATGAAAAAGGTTTGGGTAAAATAGATATTACCTACTTTTTATTTGTGTTTCGACGAAGATAAGACCTGGCAAATTCCAATCCGACCCGTTGACCCGACCCGAACCCGGCCGAAAAATGAAAGTTTTTATGACCCGAGATCCGAACGACCCGAACCCGACAATCCTTGATTTTTTGGTTCGGGTTGGGTGGGTTAGCGGGTCGACCCGTTAGACCCGTTCCATTTCATATGTAACTCATAAAATGATAAAATCACTCATAAATTGGTGAGATGTTTAAAAAAATTAACAAGGATTTGAAAGACATATTTGGAGTTTAAGGATAATCAAATATCATGGGGAAGATTTGAGAATATATTAATTGACATGTGTTTGGTAAACTATTGTCATGCATATGTGAAGATTTGTGTTCTTTAAAAAAATATGAAGCATGTTTGATGTTGTTTCTGAGAGCGCTCATAACCCGAAATGACCCGTAACCCGACCCGAACCGAATGGATTGTATCAATATTTATCCCGAAATAATCCAAATGAACATCACCCGACCCGTAACCTGAAACTCCAACCCAAAATTACCCAACCTGACCTAATTACCTGCCAGGTCTAACGGAGATGTATTGTTTGACAATGGCGGGCACATAAAAAGAAGCTGAGATGGTCCAAATGTCACAGATGAGCAATAACAAAGAGACTCAAGTTTTACAGGTCCAAGATACTAATGGATCAATAAAACAACTGACAGGTGAACAGAGGTCATTAAAGCTGGATACATAAGCAAATAGTTCCACATAGAGTGGTGACAAGAAGGATATACTATTCTCGGAAGCATTGGAGTACAAAATACAGTGTTGATGATGATGAAGAGGCTCTAGAAGTGGAAGAGGAGGATTATGATGCAGTTATGGTCAAGACAGTGAACTTGCTGGGATTAGTGGGAAGGTTGTTAACAGAAAAAAAACATCAGACTAATGAAGATTGCTTTATCCAAAGCATGGAGCTTGAGGTAAACCTTTCAGATTACTGACAAGGGAGACCAGTTGTATGGTATCCAATTTCTTAACAGAAAAGATAGAGAGAAGGTCCTTTATGGTGGTCCATGGCACTATGATAACAAATTGTAGATCTTCATAAAAGCAGTTGCTTTTCATAAACATAGGATTGATGAGAATACAACAGAAATTCAAAACAATTACTTACTAAGTGTAAGAGTGAAGAGGAGAGGGAGTCATCGATGGATGACTTACTGGATAAAGAAGCACAGTTTGGGGAAAACATGGTTTTCAATTTCAGAGCAGGGGGCAATAAGGAGAGTCAAAGAAAGCATAAGCGTTGCCAAAGACAAAATTCATAGAACAGGTCACAACAAGGAACCTCAATGATGTAGCTAACACCTCAAAAGAGAAACCTTATACTCAATCTAAAACAAGAAGGGTAGATGATCCCATAAACTTCCAGGATGAAGGAGAAACAGAACCAGGAACATTAAAAGGGGTTTCTTTCTTATAACCCCCAATAGGAAAATTTTATAGTGGATGAAATCAAACCAAATGGTGGAGAGGCGGACCTTGTGGCCACCAAGCTCAATGAGTCTACTAAGTTCCTCCTACCGAGGTATGGGTAGTCCATTGGTAGTGAGGAAGTTGGGTAGATTGATCTAGTGAGAAAACCCCACCATGGTTCTCATCATGAAAACCAAAAAGAAAGAAACTGAATGGGAAGAGATAATAGAGGATCTAGGTTGTGAGAAAGGCAAGGGCATATGATCTCAAAACAGAACGTGGCTTACTAGCCATGTGGAGAGATGATATGGAAGTTGAAGCCATGTCCCTATCTTTAAACCATATAGATTTGAAAATAATTGAGAAGGGAGTATAATGGCACTTTACATGTATATATGGTTGGCCAGAGCAGGAAAACAAGGTAAAAAGTCACGAGTTGTTTCGTAAATTACATGATCAAACTCAGAACCGAATTCGTTGGTTGGTAAGTGGTGATTTAACCTTATCAATATTATGAGGAAAAACATTGTCTCAACCTCCCTAATGTTAGAGAAATGGAAGGATCTAATACGGGTATGGAAAACTGCAATCTTGAGGATCTGGGCTATTATGGATACCCTTTCACGTGGGACAATAATCATAACGATGAAACTTTTCTCGAAGAGAGACTAGATAAGATGGTTTTAAATGAAAAATGGATGACTATGTTTCCACATGCCAGAGTATATCATTTAAGAAGATGCGGTACAAACCAGTCACCTATTCTTTTGAAACGTTACTTAGATCCATGAGAATGTACAATAGGAGAGATCATTTAGATATGAGAGTTATTGGAATAAGTATGATGAATGCTCTCAGATTGTTATAGAAGGGTGGAATAGTCAGCTTTCAACTCCAATTATGACCAGGATTGCGAATTGTGAATCTAAGCTAAAGAGCTGAAGCAAACTGAAATATGGTAGCCTGGCTGTAAAGAGGCAGAAAATTGAGAAAGCTCTAGAAAACCTAGAAAAAATAAAGAAAGATGTAGTTGTTTTAATACAGAACTCTAGAGATGGAACAACATGAAGTGATGGTCCTAAAGGAAATTGCTTGGAAGCAAAGGGCAAGGAATGATTGGTTGCAAGAGGGTGACATAAATACTAAATTCTTCCATAAAAGGGCGTCAGATACACAAAATTGGCATACTAACACAGAACTAACGGATGAGGATCGTGTAATGAGACAGACAAACAGAGGTCACGAGTTGCAGTTTGAACTTAGGTAACCAGAGTGCAGAGCAAGAGCGGGAGCGGGTGCGTGAGCGAGAGCGTCAGAGCGTTTGTTTCTCAAGAACTCGATATTGAGAGTGTGAATAGAGCATGATTATTTTATTAATATTATATGATCCTTCTTCAAATATATTAGATTACGAGCAATATTATCATGCTTCACTCTTACAATTGAATTGTATGTGATTTTTTTAGTATTCATTTGAATTTGTTCCTTGATCTATTAATAGCAGTATGAAAAAGGAACCACAAAGTAAAAGAATGAAATAAACCTACATAAATATTAGATAACTAAGTATAAATAAATAAATAATATTAGATGATTAATATTAAAATAATAAACAATAACACATATCTCCACCTATTGTCGTCTCTCACTGTTAGTACTTAGTATAAAAACAATCATTCTGTTGAATACGTAGTCATTTGATAAAATTCCAATTGTCCTTCCTTTTTTCCTTTTTTTTTCGAGAATAGTAATCCCTCTATTCTCTTTGGATCCTCCGCCTACACTTAATCATTTCTTTTTTCCCTTATAGCAATTGTAAAAACCATCGTTTACTATGTTTTTCTCACCTCTGTCTCTATATTATCAGTTTCTTAATAAGTAAACTATTGATATCTCTCATGTAGTCTAAACCACTCTCACTGTAGTCTCTTTCTCTACCCTTCCACAATCCCTCCGGAAATAATAGGGTGGGAGACAAATCTGAGTCTGGATTTCCGGTCGGTAGCGGTTGCTTAAATCTTTGCTCCGGTGGATTGATCAATCGGTTATTCTCAAAGAAAGCATTCCAGTTCTTCAAACCCTTTAGGGGATTATTTAGCGAAGGTAAAATTTGTTGATGGAAGGGAGTTTTGGTCATCTTCCAACACCACCAATGATAAGCTTCACAGGATCCGTGTTCTTTATTTGAAAATTCGCGCTCTAGAAAAGTTAAATTCATGAATTTTTTATGCTTTGAAAAGAATACGCATTTTTGTGAACTAGCGCGCGAGCGTCGGAACGATGGTAGCAAATTGGATAACCTAAGGTTGGACTACTTGAAAACCATATAAAAATCAGGCAACAATGCCCCTTCTCAATAATATTAGGGGTTGTCCCTCAAAAGATAACAGATTCCATGAATGCCCAAATCCTCCAGCCTTTCATGAGGGAGGAACTATGGTTTGCATTGAAGAAAATGGGGCCCTTTAAAGCACCAGGGACTGATAGTATGCCTGTTGTTTTTTTCATTCGCATTTGGGAGACTGTAGGAGACGACGTGGCCAAAGAAATTCAAGGTTTTCTGGAATTAGGTGAATTCCCATAGACTTTAATTCACACGCTGATAGCTCTTATTCCTTAAAATAAAGCTCCAGATAAACCTATGGATTTTAGACCTATTGGCTTATGCAATGAACTTTACAAGATCTTATCGAATGTTTTAGCTAATAGACTATAAAGGGTTTTGAATGAAGTGGTGGGTTATAATCAAAGTGCTTTTGTACCTAGAAGATCATCATATGATACTAGTTCAATTTATGTAACTAGGTTTATGGGATATGCTCTTCCTTTGGTAATCAGTGAATCATATCCAATATAGTCAGTGATAGGATACTAACTAACTGTTCCCAGGTAGTAGTCTTTCAGTCTAGCAGGAAGTACCATTTCTCTGTGAGGCCTTCTCCTTACTTGTGGAGGAGGTTCTTCTTCACCTTCTTGCAGTGGAACCAACTCTGGTTCATCCACATAGGTTTTATGAAAATCGTTGGTAGTCTTATTACTTAAATCATCAAGCATAATATTATCATGACAAGGTGCATCAGAATCATAACATGATTTAGAATGACTGGATGAATGATGATTGGTATAAGGACTACTGACATGTGGAATGCTATTTGGTAACTTAGACTTGGATGATGAAAGATCGGCCTTCCTAGGATTTGTGACTTCAGGACTACTTACAGTTATGGGATCCCTACTTGGGAAAGGACTACTGACAGGGAGGTACACTATCATGAGGAATGAGAGGTATGGGAGAGGTAGAAGATGTGTCTGCAGTGTCACTTCCAGTAGGAGATAGTTTTTTAGTCTTCTTGAATGGAAATATATTTTCATAGAAAGTGAAATCTTGAGACATAAGGAATTTATGGGAGTTCAAATCAAACCATTTGAATCCCTTTATGCCAGCAGGTTACCCCAAGAAAATACATTGTCTAGCTCTTCCTTCAAGCTTGGTCCTTCCCTGCGGTAAAGTTGCAGCATAAGCTAAGCAACCAAAAAATCTCAAATGTCTCAGGTAAGGTGGTGTTTTATATAGTATTCCAAATAGGGATTTATTCTTTATAATTGGTGTAGGTATTCTATTGATTAAATATATAGCATGAAGTACACAATCACTCTAGAAGTTCAAAGTTACACATGAATAAATCTTAGAGCTCTAGCAACATTGAGAACATGTTGGTGTTTATGCTCAACCCTCCCATTTTTGTTCAGGTGTATAAAAACATGACATTTGATGTTAATTACTCTTTGCTAAGAAGAAATCATACATGGAAAATTTATTCCCCTTGTCACTCCTGATAATTTTCACAGTTTTATTGAATTGTGTTAGGACTAGTGTACAAAATCCCATTAGCAAACCCCTAGCTTCATATTTATGTTTCATTAGATAGATCCAAACACCACGAGAATGGTCATCAACAATCGTAAGGAAATAGGTGAAGCCATCATGAGAAGGAAGTGAGAGTGGTCTCCAAATATCTACATGAGCAAGAGAAAAGATATCCGGGGCAATGTTGATACTTGGAATGAAAGGTAAACGTTTTTGTCTTGACAAATGACAGTGTTCATAATGTTTGACATGTTCAATAGGAATATGGTAATTACTTTTTTGAATAAGCTTAAACCTATTAGAATTAGGATGGCCCAATTACCAATGCCATAGATCTATCTTGGGGGAATCAAAGTTGTAGTCAGAAGCAACTTTGGGAGGAGGAAACTTGTTGGTTTGAGCTCGTGGAAGGAGATGATACAATCCCTTAGTTTCTTTGGCCAAACTAGTCATCTGAGTTGTTATAAGGTCTTGAATGTGACACAGATCAAATTTGAAAATAAATGAGACAAAAAGATCATGTGTGTGATACTAATTGACACTAGATTGAAAGTGAAGATGGGAACCAGTAACATATTGTGAATGAAAAGACCAAATAACAGATGGACTGAATCTATATGGATGACTTGAACTTTTGTTCGATTAGAAAAATAAACATGGACATTTATTACTGGGATATTTTTGGTGAAAAGCTGAATGGAACATGCTATGTGATCTGATGCCCTAGTGTCAAAAATCTATGTTTGTTTTAATTTACTACTATAATGATTTAAGTAGGAGGATAAAACATATTTACCTACGTGATTTGGTAGTTGAGCAAGAGAATTGGTCACACAATGAGCCAAATGGTTGAATAGAGGACTTTGAGGCAAATAGGTGATGAAGATGAACTTGACATCTGCAATATTCCCCTTGAACCCTCTATTTCTTATACAATGAATCCAAAGCTACCCTGAGAATGATTACTTCTAGTTTCCAAAAGTAAATGCCTTTCTCCATCCCTACTTTATTAACTCACTACACTCTGGCCAACAGAACCAATAAATCTGCCACCTACCGCACCTTTAGCTTCCTTGTATTGCCTTTTCTTTTAAA